CAGCAGCACATCATCTCCTCTGCACCTCCTCACAGCAGCACATCATCATCACTGAGCGCCTGAAGCTCAAGTCTCATGAGCCAATGTCTCGAGTCGGAGCGTCCAGACATCACGAGCGAGACCTGCTTATGTCTGGTGGGAGTTTAAAAAGGGGCGGGGCTCTTTACAGTCCAGGCTTGAACAAAGTTTAAAACAAACGGTTGGTGTGAAGTCATTTCACAGCTGTGTGCCAACATGTCGTGTTCCTCCTCAGTATCCTCCAGGGATGTCTCAGCAGGTCCTGCTCTTCTTCTTCAAGCTGCTGTCTCAGATGCAGAAACCTCTGCTGCAGCTTGTCGGCGTCTACAGACCTGTACAGGTAGGTGTGCGTACGTCATCGCAGCAGGTAAACACAACATGTCTGACCGAAGCGTCTCTCTGCTCCGTCCTCAGAAGCTGATTCGTCTCTGTGCACTTCCTGGTTCCTGCACTGAGAAGGAGGAGGCTCAGTTCCTGTCTGCCGTCTGTTCTCGGGTCCAACTGGATCCAGACACGCTCAGATTCGTCTTACAGGTGAGCAGAGCCCCGTACAGCGAGAGCTGCGACTCTCTGAACTCGCCGATACGTGGTCACGTGGTTCATGCAGCGCTCAGTGGTTCCAAACAGCTCGTCCTGTCAGTCTGAGCAGCTGATGGTGCAACACAACACAAAAATCTACTTCTCTTACTTTACCTGTGTCTTTCAGTAATTATTGATCAGTAACCAACTGATTACTGATTATTTCACAGACTATGCATTTTATCAAAGCATTTTTAGAAGCAGCTGATACATTTATCATTAAAGAAGGAAACGAGACTGCAAACACATATTTGTTAGAAAAATAATGTATATGCAATACAATGATCAATATAGCCATGTCAGTGTTTTATAACGTTACACACGTTAATAAAAGATCAGAGTAACTCCTGTTATAAAGTTATTCTGATGTTCTCTGCAGGATAATGCTCCACCTTGTCCTCCAGCAGTTCAGATCTGCTCCAGCTTACCTCAGAACATCTGGATGAATTCTTGATTTCTATACAAGATATTAATTCAACCTTTATTTAAACAGGTTCGTCCCATTGAGCCACGAGGACTCATTTACAAGAGA